GAGGGACGAGAGGAAAAGAGGGTGAAAGAGTGAGCGAGAGAATTGTGTGTTTTATTGCTTAATATAAAGGCTGCAGGAAAATAGAAAGAGAGAGAGAGCCCGGGTGGAGACACACCACACACACACACACACACACACACACATACCTCTGGGACTACAGCTGTAGCACTATAGTTTCTGAACAGAGACAATTTGATCATCATTATTACAAAGACTCTTTGATCAGATCAAGTCTCATCAACCCGAGCCTGTGTGTGTGTGTGTGTGTGTGTGTGTGTGTGTGTACAGCTCCATACACATTCTCAATGTCAAACTTCAATGTCATCTCGGTATCAGCGCCACACACCTCTTAGCGCCTCGCTAATATGCTAATGCTAAAAGCTAAATGATATTAGGTAGGCTTCTGAAGCTGTCCTACTCTGCGCTCCAGGCTAATATGCTAATGCTAACAGGTAATCTGATCACTCAGGCTTTGAAGCAGCTCGTCTCTCAGCCCACTGTGTGTGTGTGTGTGTGTGTGTGTGTGTATGTTAATCAGAGCAGGGAGTTATAATGTTTTAGGCCACCGGCCACAGCCGCTGAGAAATCCCCAAATCCACCTGCTACTTTCATTTTAAGGTCCAGTGTGGAACATTTAAGAGGATCTATTGGCATGAATGGAATACAATATTCATAGGTATGTTTTCATTAGAGTGTAATCACCTGAATATAAGAATCATTGTGTTTTTGTTACCTTAGAACAGGTTTTTATCTACAGACACCACGGGTCACCTTCCATGGAGTCTGCTGAGTTTCTACAGCAGCACTGAGCACATCTTTTAGGAGAAAAAGCCTAAAAACAGCTTCCGTTCAACCGTAGTGTGAAGTTTTACAGCCACAGAACGACAAACAGGGAGGACTGAGGGGAACAGCCGTTTGTTTCTCCGTTCCTACCGAATCTTGACTTCTTTTAACCGTTACAGCGAAAGATCCTGGAGCTTGCTGCAGTAGTTATTTTAACTTGAAACCACACGATCTTCCTTGAACTCTGGCGAAGTAATTTTTGTGCCTAAAGCTAACTAAACTTAACTGGTGTCAGATCAGAAAATGCTTACATTTATCATTTTTTGTAACTGTTTTTGAAGCACTGACAAATGATTATGGTTGTGAGAAAATATCACTTGAGTATCGTAATATTTCGTTTTATGATATTTAATTGATTCTCAAACCTACACTAACCCAAAGGTTTGCTATATACTTACTAGTATACTACTACTACTCGACTAGATCTCATCATGTGTGAAATTTAGTCTTCATCTTTTATCAGAATTAAAACTCAGCTTTGTCAGCTTCCTGCTGATAATAAGCATTTCTGAGAGTGAGAGGACGAAGTGACCTGAACTTTGAGGTAATTCTAGTTTCTTTGAGGCAAAAGGAGAAACATCAGCCACCCAGACTGTACGCTTTCTCAGGACCTTTGAAGGAGGCAAGCTATGAAATCTGTCACAGCTGATGGGTCTTTAACTGGAGAGAACGTCATGTGGTTTTGTTTGAGGTATATTTTTAGTCCATAACTTTTCTGTAGTTTTCTCTGCTCAGTATTAAATGCATAAACACACACCCTGTCCTTTTCTCTGGTTGCCTCCTGTCTTTTCTCTCCATCACACACACCGACTGTCTCTATTTTCTTCACATTCTCCCTCTCACAGACACATAAATACATACACACAGCCTCTTATTACCGCCTGCCTGTCTGACGTGCATAAAAGCATGCTCTGCATGCCTTATCATCATGTGATTGATGGCTGGCTGTTCTACTCTTATCGATTCTATGCTCTCCATATATTAAACGGAGGAAACGGAGCCGAATTGCTCGTGGAATAAGGCGCTGAAATACGATCGCTCTCCGATAGCCCGGCTAATCTGCACAACCTAATTCATTCCTAACATCAGCCAGCCCTATCCCAGAGACGCAGACAGTCACGCTGTGTTTTCTGTAGCGCTGATAAATGTACTTTATGTTTATTAGCTGTGAGGTTTTTCACCAGCTTATCTGGAAATTATGTGGGGCAGAGTGGCCGCCGAGTCTGTAAAATTACTCAATCAGCCGTGAGATTTGAAGTAATTTACGACGTTTGCAGGGCAGTAATGATTGCAGAATGCAGACAGTCATGTTTTATTTGGATAATATTGATATATGAATGTGTTTTTGGGGGCGTTGTGAAGAGATATAGCTGAGGGTTTGGTTTTCAAAGCGATATTTTATTGTTTATCTGTGAAATGTAATATGTAAGGGGCAGTGTCACCGCTATCTACTCACATCCGTTAAAGCTGCTTTAGGAGATGTGAGGCTTTTACTTGAGAGGAAGAGTAAGTAGCTCAATGGGTGGAGCAAGGCACTAACACTGTTTGGGTTGAGGGTTCAACATCTGGAGTTTCTTTTCAAAAGTCTTTGAGCTAAACAGAAACCGTCTTCTTTGTCACATAATTAACTATCTGCCTCTGCCATTAATAAACATTAATGAAGCAGCAGCGTTTTCATGATTCTTCAAGTTCTTCATCTAATGACTTAGAATCAACTATTAGAATCTATCTTTGGTATTTTGTAACAATAGAAATAGTAAAAAACTAAAAAGTGGACTTAAATATGATCAAATTTGGTAAAAAACTTCATAATGATTAAGCTACCTTGTGAATATACAGTAAGATTAAAGAAATACATGAAGAATTGCTTTGAGTTAAATGTAAAATTTTTGATTCATAGTGGCTTTGCGCGCTGTTCAAACAGCTTTGGTGCCTTTTCAGGGGGTCAAATAGGTTCATTGTTTTAAAGCCTCACACAAAATATGCAAATGACTACAATCGCCCACTTGTAGCCTTTATGATCACTAAAAATTCGACGTAAAATCTTCCTTGGGGGCTTTTTCATCTTCATCTTTCACCTTGTAGCCAGCAGAAACGTCCAACCTCAAACTGTGATTGGACAAACTCACAGTGATCATTTCAGTCCCATTGTGACACATTACGGCTGTCGAGCTGCCAAGATAATGTTTGACCACTGCTACAAAGGTTTTTATCTCAGCTGTTTCGTGACCTCCTGATATGCAAACATGGACATTTACGGCTTTACAAGAATGTTACAATCAATCAATGAAGTTATTGATCTCTTATGATTATTTTATGATCCTCATCACGCTGAGAAACTGCTCCCCTGCATGAGTAGAACTTTGTATAGCAAAATGTGAAGTGCTGAAACAGGTAATCAGTTGATTGATGAGTTGATTGGCAGAGGAATTAACAAATACATTTTTACAAATGATTAAATTAATAAATATTAAATTTGCTTTTTTATGTTTCATATCTTTATACGTTGAATATAATTTTTGGGGAGTTTTGGACTTTTTTTGGGACATTTGAAGATGACACCTTGGACAATCTTTTTTGCATTTTAAAGATGAATTGAGTAATTAACAGAGACAATAATCAATAATGTTTCAGCTCTTGTACACCATCTCCTGATAAAGAATTTGCAATTCTTCTCACTGGGGACTCTCAATGTGTGTGTGTGTGTGTGTGTGTGTGTGTGTGTGTGTGTGTGTGTGTGTGTGTGTTAGGGGTTAAAACACACTGTCCCATCCGTCTCCACGGTGTGTATCCTGCTCCATAAATATTGGTGGTGTGGAGGTCTGACCTTGTCATGTGTTGACTGATGCTGTTGCCCGTCTATCCCTCACTGCAGATGGAGGACTGTCTCAGGCAGAGAGCTAAAGTGGCTGATGCTGTTTTAGAAAAGCTAACTAAGACAAAGGCAAAAGACACAAGCACAAAAGTCACGAATCTTACATATAAAATAGAAATTTATAATAAAACATGTAAAAAATATGATATATACAAACTGACTTCATTCATTGTGGACAGCCCAACCCAACCCCTCAGTCTAACCTTATCTGAACCTCAATTCACACCTTACTGGTCTGTGGGGACTACTGGTCCCCCATAGGTACCAAAAATGTGCAGACACACACACACACACACACACACACACACACACACACACACACACACACACACACACACACACACACACACACATGCACAAAACTCTGTTGTGTGTGGGTGTGTGTGTGTGTGTGTGTGTGTGAATATGTATGTGCAGTATTTGCCATTGCAGCACAGCAGGATGTCAGAGGTGGTTAAGTGTCTTGAGGACTGAGCACCTTGAGGCTCACACACACACACACACACACACACACACACACACACACACACACACACACACACACGGATCAGAAAAGGCTGTAATGTTGTTCATAGATCTGACTGGAGTGTTTTCCAACAGTGCCTCAGGCTGCTTGGTGCCTCCATCCATCCATCTATCCATCCATCCATCTAGTTTTTCTGTTTTAACTGCTCTTCTCCTTCCTTGTTTCCTGTTTACATTACCACCACTTTTCCCCTTTGTTATCACTCCTCCTCTCCTTAGAGAGATCTAAGTGGAGAGACAGAAGTATTTTCACAACTGATCAACCTTCTGTCAAACCTTTTTTTTCATAAATAAGATTAAAATTTAATTTATAATTTTATTTTATTGCAAGTACTATATGATGTTTGTCCATCATTACTGTCAGTAATAAAAACATTAACATTGACCAAAATCTGTGTACACAATCGTTACAATGAAGTCAAGAAACCTGAGCATTAACAGTTAATTGAGATTATATGAACACTTTAAACTGAAAGTGACTGCAGCTGAAATGTTGCTAATAATCCCTCACTGCACAATAAAACTGTCTGCACAAGCACACTGAGTACAGGAGGTCAGAACTAAAGCAGGATATCAATCTCTAAACTGATGGATTGTTACAAAGAACAGTTCTGGTAAAAATGTAACCTTTCACCTTCCCAAATAAGTTTGTCTGACCTGTTATTTGTCATGTTTCCTGACCTGTCAGACCCTTTTGAAATCCTTTATGTTGACACAAATATATCAGGATACTGATGATGATCTTTGTGTGTTTCAGTCTTTCAAGCTAAACGTGGACAGTCGCAGCGCTCTGAAGGAGACAATAATGGAGGAAGGCAGAGCACTGCTCACTATCATCACCTCCCACCAATCAGGTACAGTCTCTCTCACACACGCATTCATATTCACAGTGTGCTACACACTCACACGATGAGCGGACACACACAGGTGGCCATAACGGAGCCCCAACTCTGCTCCATTCATTATTAATATTTGGATTAAGAGAGTGACCTTCAGAGAGGAGAACTCAGACGAATGTAGCCTAAAGAGAGACTGAGAGAGAGATAAAGACAAAGAATGAGATGGAGAGGCAGAGATAGAAAAGCAGAAAGAAAAGCAGCGGGATGAAACTGGCTGACGGGGAAAGAAACATTCAATATAATTTTATATTTTCCCAAATCTGTACAGCCAGAGAGAGAAGCGACAGGAGAGAGAGAATAGGGAAAAGAAAGACATGTTATGGAAGCGTGTGAAATGCTGCTTTATGAATTTCAACACTTTACTGACACCTTGATTCACATTTCCAATACCTGTATTAGCCAGATGGAATAAGTTTAAAGAAAGAAAACATTTAGACTAAAAGTTGACGCAAATGTAATGACTTTTGGTTGGCTAAAACGGGACTACAACGTTTTCAGTTGTCGTAAATTAAATCTATGAAAGATGAAAATGACTAAAAGTAATCAGTATTTTCAACTGAAGACTAAAGGGCTGATCACACAGAGACGTATTGCTGCAGGCGATAGTGTGCCTGTGGAGCGGGACTCGGTTTGCAACCAGGTGATCAAATATCAGAGTTCCCACGTGTCCTGGAAAACCGTATTATTTAGAGACTTGTTTTTTCAGTCATGGAAACACCTGGGAATAGATTAAAATGACCAAATTACCATTTGTAAGCACTTGCTGGAAGATGATTTCTTAAAAAGAGTGGGAACCCTGAATATGATAAACGAAAAATAATTGATTAAAGCCAACATCGAGCTCTAGATGAGTAAACTTAAAACTCTAGCTTCATTTAAAAGAGGTGGATAACTGATTTTACTTGGTTTACCCCTCACTTACACCTTGAATTGTGACAAAAAGGTGCTAGTACCCTAATTTAGCACAACCCTAACCTAAAAGTTGCATTGTTTTTTGTTACATGTGCAGATATGAATCCCTGTTTGCATGGAACTGTGTTAGAAGTAATGTTGGGATGAGTTATGGGGTTAATTTTAACACAATATTAAGTTTAATGAAATCTAAAATTAGTGTGACAATTGGATTGACGCTAATGTTTCTCTCATTTTCTCTCTCTCTCTCTCTCCACTCGGTTTCTTTCCTTCTGCTTTATCCCGATGTCTCTCGCCCTCCAGGTCTGAAGGATATCCTCCATATGGTTTCCAGCCAATGGGATCAGCTCCAGCGGCAGATCCGGCGCCAACATGGCTGGATGCTCCGCACCCTCCGCTGCATCCAGGCCCGCCTCCTCTACTCTAGCCAATCACATGAGTTCTTCACAACCTCGGGAGAAACCTCGGCCAATCGGCAAGCTCCGTACTCGACGGATGGCCTCAAGGTAAAACACTAGCGTTTTTGATTTTCTGTTTAGCTTTCAATCTCTCTTTCATCTGTTTTTTGTTTGTTTTTGACTCTTTGGTTTATATCCTTCCATTTCCTCTCTGGTTGATCCCTGTTATCCCTCCTTCTTTCTATCACACACACACACACACACACACACCACACACACACACACACACACACACAAAAGCTCACAGTCACATCAAACACACATACTTGGTCCTTTGTAAATTTCTTTGTAGCGTTTGTATTGGCTGCCAATTAACATCCTGATTGGTTTCTTAGTTCTAATTGGCTGCCGGTTAATTGGCTGGACTTGGTTAATTAGATGTAATCTCCCTTTCTGTCGGTCTCTATCTCTCCTTGCAACAGTCCGGTCTTCTTTTCACTGTTTGTGTGTGTGTGTGTGTGTGTGTGTGTGTGTTTAGAAAATTTCCATTAGTCATCTGTGGCCTTCTGTTTCTTTCCTTCTATACACGCTGAGAAAAAAAAATCTCCACATTGAAATTTTTCAACTTGATTGAAACAGCAAGATTTCATCCAACAAAAACTAAAAAGGTACATGACCATAAGAAAAAATAAATAAAACAACAAGTAATATATCATAATCCATATCTTCTCCTTCAGTTAGAGCTCTTCAAGCATCCCAAATTTTGGACCTGATGTGAAACGGCCTTGTGGAAAACCTGAAACTAACATGAAGCAACCAAACTAACATAAATTGTCAAAATATATAGATACCCGGTCTGAAAGGGACCCAAGCGCAGTCAGACCTGGTCCCAGTCAAACTGATTTTGACCCATGTTTCCTTTACTTTAAAAATTGTCTGTGTGATCAGAGCTGGTCCTCTCAGATATCTGACATACAGTATACCAATACAGTGTTTCCTCTATGTTGATTTTGGAGCGGCAGCCCGCCGCTGTTAAATTTCTGCCGCCACGGTATCAGAAATGGGGCAGACGCACAATGTAGTCACGGGTACGTGTTCGGACGGGCCTGCCCCCACTGCTAAAAAAAATCCTAAAGGAAACACTGCAATAATGACAAATGAGTTGTCAGTTACTATGAACCCGTAGAGACCTCTTACTTCAGTATTTCATTTGTTAGTTGTAGTAGTTTGAACGTTATTAGTTTGTGCTTGCATTTCTTTGATCCTTCCTTTCCACCTTCATTCTTTCCTTCCCTCCCTCCTGTCTTAATGTTTTCCTCTGTCTCATTTCATCTTTTTATTTTTCTATTCCTGTGTCCTATAACTTGTCTTCCCCTCCTGTCTGGTCATTCTTCTTCTCCTCCTCCTCCTCCTCCTCTTCTTCCTCCTCCTCCTCTAGCAGACCTGACTCTGGTTGTTTTCAGATTGTTTAGTAGCAATTAGAGCTGCAGCAGCCTGATCACTGTGATCAGTCAACAGTGACAGCCATTAGCCAGCTACCACCTCTGTGTGTGCGTGTGCAACCCTTATAGTGAAAGTGTATTTTCAGTTTGTGTGTTGTCTGTGTTTTTATATGTGTATGTGTGTGTGTGTGTCCATTAGCTGCTTGGCCGCAGCACATTAACAGTCCATTCATTATCAGTGTGAATCTCCCTCTGCACTTAAAGCTTTGATCCGTAAAACCTCCAAACAACAAACTGAGGTGTGAACCTGCTGAATTATTTTGTTGGCTGCACATATTTCTGATATTTTCAGAGAAGTCTAAAGTCATCCTAAACAAGTCCAAGTCTCTAGACATTTGTGACAAATCCAAATCACGATTCAAGTTGTGCAAGACTGGTCCAAGTCAAGACTAAAGTTATTACAGAAGTCTCAAGATGTTTGTGACAAGTCATCCAGACACAGGTTATCTACCAAGTCCAAGTCAGAACGGATGTGTTACTATCAACTATCAAATCTGTCAAAAATGGTCAGATCTTGCCACATTATGCACCAACATCACATTGTTTTACACATTTTAATTTAGTTTTTCTTAACAAGTAAATATATGCCCTGTGACCTCTTTCCAGCAAATAGATACGGAAAACCCCACAAACATTTGTTTTTCTTCCATTTTTCTAAGTAAAAAGTTTGTCAAGTATCAACCTAATGCACCTCGTCATAAGAGGTGACACTAATCTGCAGCTGTGGTCAAAACTTAATAAAAAACGAATGGCATAGAGAGTCACTGGTTTTGTACCTGTGACTATTTGTTAACATTACAGCCTTTTAAACCATTATAAAAGTCCATTTATGTCAGTATGAGGCGCCATGTAGAGCCATCGTTCAGCCCGATGCTGTTGTGTGTGTGTGTGTGCAGTAAGAATCTCTGAATGTGGCTTTACTGTGTGTTCATTATCTGCTAGTGCTCTTTAATGACAATCAGATGCATGGCCTAATTACTGCCACAGACACCGGGGTGGGGAGTGGTGGTGGGGGGGCGGACTGCAAGGTCAACCAAGGGCATCATGTTTATGTGTTTGTGTGTGTGTGTGTGTGTGTGTGTTTATGGATCTCGGTAAAAAAGATGATTCAAGAATGACCAAGGGCGGAGGGTAGGTAAACACACTGCAGTTCATTTGTGTGTGTGTATGTGTGTGTATTTTCAGTGCAGGCTTATGAGTAGCTGTTAGCATCTACATATATGTGTGTGCGTGGGTGTGTGTGTGTATGTGTGTGTGTTTAAATGAACGTAACCTTGACTAAAGGGCAAAATAAAGGGCAAATTGGAATAAATTTATCAAATTATGAAGCCTCGTACAATATTTATAACCAGCGAATTCACTATTCATTACAAAAGATTAAATACCAACTTGTATCAATAATTCATCCCCTTAATCTTCATTTTTAGTGCAATTAAGAGCAGAGGCAAATGACATATTTCACACCCGGCTCTAAGATAGTTAGCATGCAATTTACTGTCTGAGACCGCATCTCTGCGGGCTGCCGGTGTCTCTGAATATATAACATGTTTGGACACATTTATCTAAATACAATATCATCACTGGTTAATGATGATAGCGCTGATAATATCACTTAACTTTACGTAACACTTATCTAAATGTAAAGAAATCGAGGATGATGAAATACTTTAGATACAGAAATACATTTATAATTCAGCAGCTACAATAAAAAGTGTAGTAAATGCTTTTGACAATGAAGCATTGCAGATTAAGAGATTAATTATGGAAGGGATAATGCCCAACAGGACGGTTGCCTCCACAGAGTCCATTCATTCCTAATAATGGACATCTCGAAGGGCATTATCCTGCTTATACAATGCTCAAAAAAATAAGACATTTTAACTCAGTCATATCCGTTTTGTGAATTGTAGTTTTTTTGTCGACGGCGCTAGTGGCAGTGATTGGCTAATCTGGACCCAACCAATCCTCTGACTTTCAGGTCCACTAACTAGCTTACTTTTTGGAGCTTTCATCTGCGTCTCACTGTCTTCTTCAGCTAACAGAATTTACATTAAAAGCCCTTGAAAAAGTTCCTCAACGGAGCTCATGTTGAGGTTGCTTGGTCGACTTTAGTTAGAGTGCTAATCTTTCCCTCATTTATGATTCAATTCAATCTTTCCTGAGCGTCTTTCATCTGGAGCGACTATTAATTAATTGCTGATATGGTCGCTGTAGCAACAACAGGTGTGGTGTGAGGTCATTAATTTAGGCTGGGCCTTAACGAGTCTCCAATGAGTAATATAGTGTGTGTGTGTGTGTGTGTGTGTGTGTGTCTCCTGATGCTCATAAGAGCTCCTTGTTATTGGTGTTAGCATATGTCGCGCACAAGGTGTCCAACTTCTCTGGTTTTCATTTCATTTTTCATCCCTCCTTCTTTTGACTTCTTTTTCTTCTTTCCTTCTTTTGACTCTTATTTTGAAATTATAAAATGAAAAAGAGATGGAGTGACAAAAAGACATTTATCCATCCTTTCCTCTCTCTTTCCCCTCATCCCCCTCTTCCTTCTTCTCTCTCTACACACATCTATCCATCCCTTCTTTCCTCCCTTTATCCTCCACTTTTTCTTTCTATCTATCTATCTATCTATCTATCTATCTATCTATCTATCTATCTATCTATCTATCTATCTATCTATCTATATTCATCTTTCCCTTCATTACCACTCTCTCCATCCACACTTTTTGTCTCCTCTATCTATCCATCCATTCTTCCCTTCATAATCGATCATTCTTCCTTTCTTCTTCGTCCACCTAGTTGTCTGTCATCATCCCTCCTTCATCTTTCATTACTTTTCCATCCCTCCATCCTTCATCCTCCTCATCTCTCTTTTTCCTCATATGTCCTTAATGTCTTCTTCCTCTCTTCTTATCTCTCCATTCTTCTCTTCCCCATCCCTCTGTCCCTCTCATCCTCGCCATTTATCCTTTCTCCCTCGCCTCCCTCATCCGTCCTTCCATCCGTCCCTCCTTCAGTTCAAACCCCCGTAGACCTTTACATTCACACAGTCTTCTCTCATCGTCTATCTTTCCCTGCATCTCCCATCTCTTCATTCATCCTCCATGTCTCCCTCCATCTTCCAGCTCTCAACCCCTCCATCCTCCCCCATCCTCCCCCTCCTCCCTCTTTGTCTCTGTCCGTCTGGAGAGGGGTGATTCATGTAAATGTCAGGAAATATCAGAGCCAGGGTGGTGGGATTAGGCGGCGAGGAGAAGATACACTGATACCAGCAAATATAACGCTCCGAGAAGACGACCAGCACCGGGGATTAGGACACACACACACCCTCAATACACACACACACACACACACACACCTCTGGATGTGTTCATATGAGAATATTGTGTTATGTGACTTCTACAGTGTGTCGCTGCATTTTAAAGATTTGTTGTGCATGTGTGAAGATTTTCAAGTGACATCTGTAGTGATTTTTGCATATTGAAGACGAAGGTAAAGGTTGAGTGTTTGTGTGTGTGTGCGTGTGTGTGTATATGTGTGTGTGTGTGCGCTTTGGTGGGGGGTGAGTGAACACAGAAAGAGAGGGAGTGCCAGAGAGGTAGAAAGGTGTTT